ATCCATTCATGATATTATATGTATCTAATCATTTAATATCATATCATATTTTATTTAATGTCACAAAAAATTATAAACTTATAATTTTATATAGTATTGTAACTATAATATTCTCAATAATATAAAGAAGGTTGCCAGTTATCATCAACTAGATTTTAAAAACTAATTTGATTAATTGATAACAAATTTGGGATTTCAAAAGTTATTAGATTTAAATCTTAAATGTTTGAGAGAGACTCTTACCATATACCTCGTCATAAAATCAAATGAACAAAAAAATAAAAAATCAGCACAAAATTAATATTGAGGAGTAATCTTATGATACTCAAAAAGAAATTAGCTTACAAAATCGATAATAAATATCTAGCTTATGTTCAATTAGAAAATGATATATAAATAATTTTTTTGTATTATTTTTTTATATAATTTTTACATGTCATTAAGTAATTATATATGCTTAATATCACATGTTTTAAATAAATAAAAAAATTAATAATTTAAATAACAATGAAAATTATACTAAAATATAATAAAAAAATTATCTCTAAATTATTTTTCTTTTAAATTACTCCAATGAACAATAAATTCTACGTGAACATCTAGATTTGGTGGAGTTATTATTCTTTTCCCTCATTTATACGTAATTGATTTCTTTGCACTAATTTGATAAGAAATTTCGAACGTTACAATCACTCATTTAAGTAATGCAACCATTTTCCTTATGCAAAAATAAAAAATATAGTGGATTTTATTTTTAAGTTGTAACAATTTTAAAACTCCAAAACTTCACTTTTTTTTTTTTGTGTCAATCTTAATGATTTTTTTATAATATGTTTGGATTAAAATGAATGAAGGAAAAGAAAAAAATTTTTGACCAATCAAATTATAATATTTTAAATATTATAATTTAATTAATTAAAATTTTTTTTCTTCCCCTCTCCTCTTAAACTAAATATATTATTAATTTGTGTTGTTAAAAGTATACATGGAAATGATATTATATCCTGAGATTTATATTTCCTCCAACCTTTTTACATTTATTGGGTGATGCGTTGCGAGAGGATTTATGCCACATCTTGCCATTTTACGTTATTGTTTTCTATTTTTTAAACATAACTCAATAAAGCTTTGGCTTTTTTGGTACATATTTTGATGGGTAATTTTTTTGGCAAAACCATAAGTTAAGCCCCTGAACTAA